GAGAGACAGACGCAGAGACAGACGCAGAGACAGACGCAGAGACAGACGCAGAGACAGACGCAGAGACAGACGCAGAGACAGACGCAGAGACAGACGCAGAGACAGACGCAGAGACAGACGCAGAGACAGACGCAGAGACAGACGCAGAGACAGACGCAGAGACAGACGCAGAGACAGACGCAGAGACAGACGCAGAGACAGACGCAGAGACAGACGCAGAGACAGACGCAGAGACAGACGCAGAGACAGACGCAGAGACAGACGCAGAGACAGACGCAGAGACAGACGCAGAGACAGACGCAGAGACAGACGCAGAGACCGACGCAGAGACCGACAGAGAGACCGACAGAGAGACCGACAGAGAGACCGACAGAGGGACCGACAGAGAGACCGACAGAGAGACCGACAGAGAGACCGACAGAGAGACCGACAGAGAGACCGACAGAGAGACCGACGCACGTAGACAGAGTTTTGGCAGAATCTTTTAAGAATTGAAGGGTGTAGAGAACCAATTTCTCTACACCATTTGGTTCACGATGCAGATGTGTTTCATGATCAGTAATGACCATGTTGTCTTTGTTCACATTTCATTGGCAGGAACAAAAGAAAAGCTTAAATTAAAAAATCTAAATCTACTGTATTATTCATCAGAAAGGCTCACACCTCATTACTGTTCACTTTGACCCTGAGGATGTGTTGTCAGAATGCAGTGAGCTGTATTTTCCTTTGCCCTTTACCCGTGCGTAAAGGGCTCGATAAAACTGACTGAACCCCATGTCTGTGTATTCTGTCACAGAGACATACATCTGTCTGTGGCTGCAGTTTAGCGGTTCTCTGGTCTGTTCTAGCCATCTACACTTCTCCATAGACTAGAGGTGTCCAAACCGGTCCGGAAAGGGCCGCTGTGGCTGCAGGTTTTCTATCAGACCCAGCAGGAGCAGAGCAGACGCCTCCGCTTTCATAAAATCTTCAGGTTAAGACTGAGCTCACTTGATGAAATAGGAGGAGTCTGCTCTGCTCCTGCTGGATCTTAAACATGCCTGATGTTTCAAGTTTTGCTTTCACTTAGACTGCCGGCAGGATCGGTCTAAATCAGGCCCTTGCGGGAATACCAGAGGTTTTAGGTTGTGTATTCAAATGTGACTTTTATTAACCCAATGCACTTTGAACAATAGTGTGTTTTTGAAGCATGCTCTAACTGGCTTTCTCCTTTTCTCTCTTTGCTCTTTTGTCATTCTGTTGTCTCTCTCTTAGTCTAACTCTGTTCTGCGCCGCTGTGTTCTCTGGCTGCTCCTGTCCTTTGCATGGCAGACGACTCGGCTGCTGCTCGCTCGGCATCATGGGTAACATGCTTCTTTTCCTCTTTACTGCCTTACACACTTCACTGCTGCCTTTAACGCACATTCATCAGTGGTGTCTTGGCATAACGGTTCAATATTATGACTAAACTAGACCCTCATGATCCACAGGTTTTTTCCTATTGTATTGTTTGTCGCTTAACACTGTTTAATCTATTTATTTTATGAATTATAGGCTGCTGTATGCGCTAATGTCCCTGTTTCCAGTCACTCAGCAGTAATAAATAAGTGCAAAGCCCATAAACTGTTGTTATGGGGTTGTGGCTCCAAAAGGTTGAGAACCACTACTCTATTTGAGCTACGAAAGGAAGTTCATATATTTTCATGATAAACAAATGGAAGATTAAATTATCTCCAAATGACAAGGTGTTACAATGAAACATTTCCTACGTCTTCGTTTTTTCTTTTTTAAATGTTTATACTTATGGAGCTGTTCGCAGTGGAGTATTTTTAGTTGGGTGTTGTCCATCGTGATGGATGCAGTGTCAGGTAGAACTCGTAACGTCTTTGTAGAAACTCAATCCGATTGTTCTGGAGATTAAACCAACGGACAGAGCTGCTGACATGACTGGCAGAAGCAGTCATTTTAATTATACTAGTAATATTTTTGGAAACGTATGAAACATGTTTACAGGCTCTGACTCTTTTATACTAACCTTTTTCATGATTCTTTTCTCTTGAAAAAGTGATATTCAAATTAAAACCAGACACATTTTTTACACACGATCAAAATATCATCTGTTTCCTGTCTCATCATTTAGTCTTCCCTCTGTTTCTCAGAAAAATAAAGGTGGTCTAAAGATCCATCCATTTTCAATCTATGATGCCACCCAAGTCTCATAGCACCAGCCCCTCACTGATCCTCTGCAGGTGGTGAGTCCACAGGAGGATGGCTGCTCTGTCAGTGAGAGCATAGCCTTGATCTTTCAGTGGGAGCTTCAGGCAAAGTGGGGTTAAGTGTCTTGCCCAAGGACTCAACGACAGCAGACATCAGTGGGAGTCGGTGAAGAAGGTCTCATGGTGGGCTTGAACCTACGACCTTTAGGCTCAAAGGCCAATGCTCTACCAACTGAGCCACTGTCGCCCCACGGTCTAAAGATACTGTGTTAAATGACAATGCAACTAGAAGTGTGCAGACAGGATGTCACATTGTTGCACCATCACGTCAGATGTGGTGCAGATAACACAGAAACGCTTGCTCTATATTCTGCACTGCCGAGATCCACCTGTGCCTCTCTGGACACCAAGTATTAGCACTGTGTTTATTTTGGGTGGAACTAAATCTTGAATATTGACTATTGACCAGAATGAGCAGCACTAATCTAACCCCTCACTGGGGCACTGTTTGTAAAGAACAAACCATTTGACAAGTGCCTATGGAATTGAGAAGGAGGAGGTTTGTACAAGCTAATCTTTGAAATCTCATTGTACAAAAACAAAAATTGGCTTTAGGCGTAAAGTGGGGCAACTATTTACCCAGTGAGGCCCACTGAGGCTATTTGTCAGTTAGGCTGACAACTGTTTACTCGGCCACCAATCGAGTAAGTCTTCCCACTTAAAAAGATGAGATTCCTGTAATTTTCATCATATCTCAATGAGAACAAAAGAACATTTTGTTACTAACCACCTGGACTCACCACTTCTGCTATGGGCAGGAGCATGACTGAGGCCTTCCTGAGGTAACAGTCATGTCAGTGGTGGTAGGTTTTATATGATGTTGTTGGAGTAGAAACATGGCGTATGAGAAGCATGCTATAAATAAAGCATGCAACAATTGAACACAAAAAACTGCACAATAGTGAGGTGGTGAAAGGCTCGTGACATTGTTGCAAGATCCCCTCAGATTTTGGAGAATTGTGGGTAATGAAAAAACGTGTATTAAAACAAATGTTTCTCTACTATTTAAAGCTAGACACCAATGTGCTCGATTGTGAAGACAAAAAAATCAAGCTAAGTATTCATAATTTACAACTTTTATACTTGACAAACTCCAAAGGACGTCGTCTTTGACCCATTTTATATTGTGGTTGTTTAAAATTGTTCCAGTGTGATCTCTAACCACCCCCTTCCTTCAATGTTGTATGAACTAGAGGAAACGGGTCAATCCATATCATACTGAATAAGGAAGTACCTCCAGAGGGCTTTGGAGGAGCCCTCTGCACTGGAAGCTGGGGTCTGCTGTGGCTGCGGGGGTCTGGTTCTTGGATCTAGTGGGGGTCTGGGGCCTCCTCTCTTTTCTGGGTCCTGTGTCGTCCCCTGTGGCTGCAGGTGGCTCTGTGCTCCTGGTGCAGATGGCTCCTTGGATGGCGCTTCTTCAGCCGGTTACATCTGCTCCCAGACCCATTTCTTTTTATTTTACCTATGTTACCTGATGTGACTTTATATTTGTGTGTGTATGTGTGTGTGTGTGTGTACACGCATGTGGGTGTATATATAGTAATAAATGTGGTTTTTGGGGGGGGGGCGGTGGGGTTTATGGCTGGGCATGTTGGATTGTTTTTAACTAAACTGTTACGCACTTTGTGTTGCATTTTTTTTGCTTTATAAATAAAATTTGATTTGAGTAATTACACCAGTCCGTAAATGTTGCATGCAATGAGTTACTCAAAAACAAATATGGACATGGAGTTAAAATGTTGGGATTCCAGAGTAAGGCTGTAACACATAAGGTTCATAAGTGTATAATATCAAACTGAAACATGTATGGTCCTGGCATATGTTTACTGTACATGGTTAACATATGTATGTGTCATAAGCACCATAAGTAATTTGGTAATTCAACAGAGATCAAGCTCCAGGCATAATCGTCCTGTTGTACTTGTCTAAGTTGTCCTTCGGGGTTTGTCAACAATACAAGTTATAAATTATGTGTACTCTTCCTGGCTTAACTTTTTGTTTTTTAAATACTACAGGAAAAGCGTCCACATGTTTTGTCATTACCCACAGTTCTAAGAAACCCAAAATGATCTCACGAAAACTTCACAAGCGTTCCCCAATCATTTGAAATCCGACTTCGGTGACGTGGCAACACTGACCCTTTGTCACTGTTCTCTTTTTCTGTTTTTCGGGTTGAATATATTCAACCCGAGCCAAACCCGGAAGTCTAGCTCTGTAAACCAGAATCTGATCATCATTAACCTTGAACCCTTCATCATTTTAACACTTTGCTACTCCTCTTTTAAAATTAGCCTATGTCAGGAATGGACCAGACAGAGACGCATCGTGGTGCGCCAAACTCTGGAAGTTTATTTAAGTTTCTCTCAAGTTCCAGTGGTTTCCATTGTTTCCTTCTCCCAGACAGAATAAAGGCAGTACACAGTTTATATAGTCATTGTCACGTCACACATGGAAAGACGTACGTGTCACACAGAGACAGTCACATCATAGTACAAATAATCAGAGTCCTTGTACAGTCCTGCACGTAGGCCATATTGCTATCTAATACTAACACCTATTCTAATCAATAGCCAGTATGAAATAAGCAATGTTCTGGAATTAGGGTTAGGATCAAACGCTGCAAAAATCAGCATTAAAATAACAAACTGATGCTGTTTTGTCAGTAGGTATGACGAACACAGACACAAAATGACAATATGGCTTGGGGGATGTGTTGGCTGTGGGTGAATAAACGTCTGTGTCCAGGACGGAGATTACACGTTTAACCGCGCTAAGCTGCTGAACATCGGATACACCGAGGCCCTCAAGGACTACGACTACGAGTGCTTTGTGTTCAGTGACGTAGACCTGATCCCCATGGACGACCGCAACACCTACAAGTGTTTCAGCCAGCCCCGCCACCTGTCTGTGTCTATGGACAAGTTTGGATTCAGGTAAGCGGTGGAATCAGGGAGACTAGAAAATGCACTTGGAGCGATGTTCCGGGTTCTGGGAAGTTCACACCACATTAACTTTTTCTGTCCTCTAGTTTTTACGCTCAAACGCACAACATGCAAGCCCGAACAGAGAGACAGTATCAATTCCATGTGGGATATACTGGATTTTAAGATAACATGGACTTTATCGATCTCTCACTGGAGAAATTTTCATTTTCATGTCCACCAATCTGTACTCCTTGACTGTCAATATCTAAAGATATCTAAAGATGCTAACGAGGCAATCACAAAGTGGGTTGAATATTATCTGCTATTCATGGAGTAAATTCATAAAGCTTTGTCTGAGTAGGTTTAAATCTGCCAGCAAATGGATTTTGTGAAATCAGCTGGAAGGCCCAAAAGGGTATAGGTTCTATTGTACCAGTTAAGATTGATACCATAGTCTGTTTTTTCCAGACTTCCATACAACCAGTACTTCGGAGGTGTGTCGTCCATGAGTAAGGAGCAATTTCTGAAAATCAACGGCTTCCCAAACAACTATTGGGGCTGGGGCGGAGAGGACGACGACATCTACAACAGGTAATACTCATTGGGACTGGCCCCACACTGGGACTGGCCCTACGCTGGGACTGGCCCCACGCTGGGACTGACCCCATGCTGGGACTGACCCCATGCTGGCTTGTCGCTTTAGTCACTCTTCAACTCATTCTGCATTTAAACAAAACTCCTAATGTCTGTTATGATGTTAGATTGGCGTCCAAAGGAATGAGCATCTCTAGGGCGAGTGGTGAAATTGGGAAATGCAGAATGATCCGCCACCAGAGGGACCAGAAGAATGATGACAACCCTCAGAGGTTTGTGCTTTTCCACTGCCCTGTCGGCCTCTCACTCTTATCAGGCACTTCAGCGACATCACTGTTCAAGTTTAAAATTCACCAGTGTGGAGATGGGCTCTTCCAGCAGGTCTGAAGCCTTCTCTCCAACAGGGTTTTTTCCAACATAGTTCCCTCGTAAAACACCACAGGAGTGAGGGCTGTGACAAAAATCCAAAAACTCTCCAAAAGCATTCACAATTCTGAGATCGTAGCCCTCTGCTTTAAAAAGGCTGCTGACTCCTGGTCTAAAGGGTCAAAATGCAACGACTATTGACAGTAAGTGCAAGTTACCAGATCAATGACCTGTGCACTCACAAACCCCCATGATGCACCGTAAAAATGGCAGCAGCCCAAACAGATAATAATGCACAGTACATGTATCAGTTTGCATGACACCAGGTGGGTCCTCTCGTGTTTCACAAAGGCCTTCTAACCCTTCTCTTCCATCCTTATCATTCCAAACAATATTTGAAGCAGAGCATTGGATTTGACTGGCACTTAAAACATCTTGAAATGTGCTACACTAATGTCGGCCAAAGCTTTTTGGTGGAATCAGATGCAGCCGAACCCTGGGCTCAGGATTGCCCCCACCGTCAGCTCATGAAGTGGTTAAAAGTTGTTATAAATTTTAAAATAAATGGAAGACATGATTTGAGTGTCTTTTCGATAGCTGATAAAATGACTTAACTGTTCATTATGAAATTGGAAACACAAAAGAATACATGAGAGCTCAAAAACTCAATATTGATTTTGACCAAATGAAAGTATTTTTTTTGCTTTAACCTCTGTTAGTTTTATAGATTAGATAATGTCAAAAGTGAATGGTACAATTTCACACAAACAAGTATCCATTGTGTGTTTTTATTGAAGGGGAATATCAAGCATAATGATCCGAGGCACAGCAGGTAAAATAATACAAACACGTATCAACGTCAGAAAATATACGACAAATGTTGGTCCAAGCATTAGTTGTGTGAGGGATGGAAATAATTATAGTGTCTTATATTTGAAGGACCTCCAAACCCTTTCCAAAAGGTGTTAGGCTGAAAGTCTAAAATGGAGCGCTTGTCTGTGCGTCTGTGAGTTTGTGCTGCCCCAGGCTTCTACCACGGGCAATAATCTGAAAACAGCCCTAATAGTTCTATACACTGTAAAAAGCAATAACAAAAGCAGAGATTGAGAAGTCTATATGAGACTGGAGAGGATTGGATACATGTCTTTTTTCCAACCAAATGAAGGGACATTTAGAACGAGGAAACGTGTGATGAATTGCGTTTAATCGCGAGCTCACTATGACAAATGCAAATAATCACGATTGAATTAGTATTTACAATCTTCAGAGCTGAATGGTTTTCCCAATGTGTGAATGTGTTTGTTTCGGAGCCAAACTGAATGTATTTGGTGTTTGACTTGTGTCGTTCCTCTGTCCCAGGTTTGACAGAATCGCACACACGCGGGACACCATGCACAAAGACGGCATAAACTCTCTGACGTACCGCGTGGTGAAGACCGAGCGGCTGGAGCTGTTCACGCAAATCACTGTAGACGTGGGCACCCCGCCGTGATCCCACCAGGATGCCGCCTGGATCCCACTGTGATGCCGCCGTGATCCCGCCGTGATCCCACCCACACACTTGAACTTTGCTGGACTCAAGACTTGTTTGATTCTCGTCTTTGCACTTTTTTAACGTTGTTTTGTCTCATTGCCCTTTAAGGGATGCGCGGTCTCAGGCTCCACGCACAAAGGATTCTGGGTCTTTTGGCTCTTTTCACCATGACGCTGAGCAGCATTCTAAAGTCGGTCAAAGAAAAACCAAGACTAAAGGAGATATGTTCCAGTTGTGCTCTGTGAGTCCATGCTAAGGCTAGCTAAGCATCAGAACTGTCTCAGAATGTTCAGAGCATTTTACACACATTGCATTCCAGCGCGGTGCACTTCACTGCGGTCGCTAACGGTAGCTCTTTGCACATGATTAAGTGGTTTTTACATGGGCATTCCTCCAATGAAGTTATCAAAAAGTCTTGGTGATTTTGGCTCAAAGTTTGTCTGAATCGTTCTTCTCAAGTAGCCATTAACTTCACCTGGTTTAATCTACTGGAAACCGAAATGCCCTTCTTTTTTCTATCAGTCCACAGAACTACACATATGTGCCACAGTGCCTTTTCACAGATGCCTTCATCAAAACTACGAACAAGTGACAATTGCACAGTGCTGTGTGTGTGATGTCACGCATGGAAGAGGTGATAATCAGGCCTCACTATAGAGCAGTCTCCTTCAGCCTCTGGCGCCTCATTCTTCACTCATAGTCACGTTTCAGCGTTATGGTGAAAGGGTCAAATAAAAACCCAGCTGTAGAACGTTTGTTGTTGCACAGAGCTGATAGGACAAGGGCCGAAGCAGCACCCCTCTCCCCAGTGCGAGATAAGATCCCCTCGGGAACTCTTTGTCTTTCACTTCTAGCTCCCTAAATTCATACAGTCAAGGACCTACGATCTGCATTTCTGTCTAGATGGTCTAAACGCATTTATCTTTAACAAACTAATGTTGTAATTGAGCAATAATCTCTGGTGCGCCATCATCACAATGACACAGAAAACGTCTGTATGTTTCAAAGAGTAAGAAGCCATGTTTGTAGTCTGTTTTGTGGCGGCCATGTTTGTAGTCCGCTAAAGTTGTAGGAACGTGCTTTGGTATCGCTGGTGTTTTCAAAGCCATGTTTGTTGTCCTGCACTGCATATTATTCTAAGATAAGATGAAACACTTACTAGATGCTTGAAGTAAGTAGAAAAAAGATTTGCAAATACAACAAATTAAAAAAAAGATTTATATTCTGCTTTCTGTTTTTCAAAGGAATACAGTTTTCCTATTTTCCCTCTGTCTTTAGAAAGTTTTCATCTTATGTTGGAATTGTTATTTTCATTTTACTTGAAAAGTTTATGTGGGCACTGCAGACGCTGCTCCCGCTTCTCCACAACAGCCCGATGCAGCAACTACATCACTGCAGATGCCTCATCCTTAGTATAAATACAAAACAAATTGTGTTAGAGATAGAAAAAAAGAAAATTCTGCGCATGTTAGTTCAATATGGCCGACTTCCTGTTGAGGTTGGGACAAAGTCATGATGTCATTTTTTTCATTTTCTTTTTGCCATTGTGCATGTGGCTACGTTAACATTCTCCATGTGGCCTATTGGAGTCGGGATCCCAGAGGCCGTATGAAAATGACATTTGAGGTGGCGCTTCTGAGTCGTCTTTTATTATTTTCCTCGGGACCTTCCGTCACCTGCAGAGCTCAGAGTTTTATTTGTCGACACCGGACATTTACATGTCCGACCTTGCATGCCTCTTTTATGTTTCGATTTACACAGTTCTTTCAAGAATTTGAATAGTCCCTCAGCTTGGAACAAATTTTAATCCTTATATTCAACCCTTTAGGCGACATTCTTTTCAGAAATTCTATTTGGAGCAGACAAAAGGTGAAGCCCTGAAACGCTTAAGCGAAAGAACTACTACAATCCTAACAAACAAGAGTAATTCGGTTACTTTGACGCCTAAAGGGTTGACATATTTAGCAAGAATCTGATTTCATTTAGCTTGTTTTCATATTTTGTGAAAGGCAATTTCTGTGATCCTTTAAACAGACGAATGGTCCATGATTTTGATTGAAAGTCTCCTGACGTTTGTGCCGTTCGCCTAAGCTCAGCTCAGGAGCAGAATGAACTTTATTTTAAATTCTAGTTTGTGATTGAACCAAAGAAATGAATGAATTATTTGTGATTTATGTTGTGTCTACGTTTTCAATGCTTGGTGGACAATCAGAAAAACAAAAACTGTGAGTGACCTGTTTTTACTGTGCCTTAAAGTGACAGAGTTCTGTGACGTCACGATAAAGTGAAGAAACTTCCAACTGTCTGGACTCTCATTACTGACTGCTGATCGCCGTCTTGATGTGGTCTGATCAGAGCCTGCAGGGCCTGTGATGTGACCATGGTTATAGTGGCAGCGAGCACTAAATAGTGCTCGTAGGACAGGGCAGGACTGAAGTGCATCAACTTGTTTTAAAGTACTAAGTACAGTGCCTTGCGAAAGTATTCTGCAGTTCATCCAGAGTGATCATGGGCCTCTTGGCTGCATCTCTGATCAGTCTTCTCCTTGTTTGAGATGAAAGTTTGGAGGGACGGCCAGGTCTTGGTAGATTTGCAGTGGTCTGATACTCCTTCCATTTCAATATAATTGCTTGCACAGTGCTCCTTGAGATGTTTAAAGCTTGGGAAATCTTTTTGTATCCAAATCCGGCTTTAAACTTCTCCACAACAGTATCTCGGACCTGCCTGGGGTGTTCCTTTGTCTTCATGGATCTCTCTCCGCGCTAAAAAACAGAACCCTGAGACTATCAAAGAGCAGGTGCATTTATACGGAGACTTGATTACACACAGGTGCATTCTATTTATCATCATCAGTCATTTAGGACAACATTGGATCATTCAAAGATCCTCACTGAACTTCTGGACTGAGTTTGCTGCACTGAAAGTAAAGGGGCCAAATAATATTGCACGCCCCACTTTTCAGTTTTGTATTTGTTAAAAAAGTTTAAATTATCCAATAAATTTCGTTCCACTTCACGATTGTGTCCCACTTGTTGTTGATTCATGACAAAAAATTAAAATGTTATATCTTTATGTTTGAAGCCCGAAATGTTGAAAGGTTCAAGGGGGCCGAATACTTTCGCAAGTACTGTATATCATAATAGTGTTTTATATTATAACTATAGAAAATTATTCTTTAACAGGGACAAAAGCAGCTGCATTTTTCATGTTCAAACCAGTCCTGACAAATGTTTGGTTTCAGCATATCTCTAAAGCGATTCCACACTCAAGATTCACCAGAATGGGGGGGTGCGGACTCCAGAGGTTTCCAGGACAGCTGAAGATAGAAAGAGAAGTAGATGTTTCAATCCCTAGCAATGCATCTCTGTGCTGAAACTTGAACTCTAATGAGGGAGGATCTTGTATTGGACACCTCAGGGATGTTACCTTCTATGCATCGCTTCATCAGTTGTGATAAAAGACTGAAAACCCCAATAATGCTGTGGTACAAAAGACCTCCTCTGGGGCAGGCTGGCTGTGTGATGCATTGGGACTGAGTGGGTAAATGGTTCCCCATCCTGTCTCCTTTCTTCTCAGCCACAGCCAGTGTCTGCTTCCATTTCCTTTATTAGCTTCCTCTGGGCCAGCCTAAATCTTTCAAAAATTGTAATGTGGAATTTGCGACAAAGCCTCTGCAGCTTAAAGCCTCACCAGACTGGACCAACACTTTTCTTTGATTTTTGTAATCGATGCAAGATGGGAATAACGCAGCTTCTATCGTTTGATAGTTCAATAACTTGCAGTGGGACATATTCTCACCGAAAGACTCCATGGAGGCCAGCAGAATGGTATCTAGTGGGACACCTGGTTCTAAGAGTTCAAAAGAGCAGTGCATATTTCAAGCTGCCCACAGTGTCAGTGACTCACTGGGCTTTTTCTGACAAGTATGCAAGTTTTTTTTCTAATTGAATGTTGTATCCTGCATGTAGAAGTCTTTTTCACATTCTTCATCATGAGCCCTATATAGATCAAGTGCTTGTATTTTACTTAGTTTGCCCTGGATCCTTTCTGAGGTGGAAAGTATATTTATTTATTTAAGTATATGTTAGTGGGGAGTGTGGGTAAGTAGTGCCAGTTTTGACTTCTGTACTTGTAAAATCTGTACTTATGGTTTAGGAAGGATGCATGTGCGTCTCTGTGAACAATCACTTTGGATTGTAAGTAAATTGTTAAGAAATAATGCTTTAGGGGCATGTGGCGCAATCTGCCCCCGTGTGGGGGGAGTTTAAACACACTGGGGTCAAATTAAGTAATATATAGAGTAAATGGTCAGTAAAAAAAAACATTTTTTATGGCACAAATTATTCCAAGCTCACCACTTAGAATTAAAATGCATCCCCTATTTTAACCCAACATCAGCTCATGAACGGACTCAAAAAAACTCTTGAGAATCATTTCACATGGACCTTGTGAACTGTGCTCCAACAATTCTGACCAGCGGGACAGCTGTGCAGAGTCCAGCCTATGACATGGACTCTTTTCAAAGCTGTTCTTGTTTTTTTTAACAATTATGTATATTTTAAAAATCTTTTGAACATCTTTCCATGTCTTAAGGGAATTAAATGACTCTTCACAAAGATGTGTTCACATGACCAACCTCTGCATTTCTGATAACTGAACTATTTCCCCCTGGCATAAATGACCCCACTCTCCCAAACCAATATAGTACTTATTTCTGGCATCAGTACTTTGAAAACGTTGACTCCTCTCTAATGTGCTTCCTGCTCATGACATTATAAAATTGGCAGGGCAAGTTTATTTGTATAGCCCAATTCATACACAAGGCAACACAAAGTGCTGAACAAAAATAAAGCATTATAATAATAAATAATCACAGAACATTAAAAAGAAAGATAAATATAAAATCCCTCAGTTGTATGCACAGCTAAACAGAAGTGTTTTTAACCTGGTTTAAAACATTGTCAGAGAGGAGGCCTGTCTCACATCTTCAGGAAGACTGTTCCAGATTTTAGCATTGAGTGGATTTGCACACAAAGGAGAAATGTGCCTAATTTAACCATGCTTCTAATCACAGTATGACAGCTTTACAATTTTGACAGGTTTTGCAGAGATAGGGGCGACAGTGGCTCAGTTGAGCCTGAAGGTTGTGGGTTCGAGCCTACCACAAGACCTGTTGTTGTGCCCTTGGGCAAGACACTTAACCCCACTTTGCCTGAAGCTCTCACTGAAAGATCTCAGCTCCTGTGGACTCACCACCTGCAGGAGGATCAGTGAGGGGCTGGTGCTCTGTGAACTGGTTGCAGCTCTGACTGCCACCCCCCGACCCAGAAATGGATGGATGGATACAGAGATAAATAAATCCACTAATATATCACACAAAAAATTTGGACATAAAACTTTACCTCTACTCAAATCAAGGGTAGACTTTTTTACTCGAGTACATTTTCTACAAATATCTAGACAGTCTGTATGTGGGCTGTGCTCTTCCAAACATATGTATAACTGTCGCGAGACTGAATACAAAAGCAGAATATTGAAATCAATGAAAGACGAGCCTGGCCTTTTGTGTGCTTTTTAATGGGAGTCTTTGGTGTGGCGTATGAAAACTTATTTACAAGCGAAGGCAAAAGCGATTGTCAAAAGGCACTTCCTCATTCTACACGTTCACATACTAAATAAACAGACACATTCATCTCTACGCAGACTACACACGTTTGGTGAAATGTGGCACGACACAGGACACTGCAAAACGGACTCTCAGAAGGTACGAGCGGGACGTCCCAAGTGAGAAACAGAACTACTAAAAAGAGTGCAAAGTTCATTTGTGCTGAAAACAGCCCAGGGACAAATGCAAAAACTGTTACTAAACTCATTTTTTAAACATTTAAAAGAAAAGAAAGTTTCCCCCGCATCAAGAAACATATTACTGTAATATGTACAACAGTTTAGTCGCAGATGATTGACAGCTGTAGACTTTTGTAGACTTTTCTGAAAATATAGTAACAAATAATGAACCCACAACTCAGGACGGCCTCCGACATGATCCCAGGAGATGTGGAATAAACACATGGTCAGACACAAAAGGTGTGACAAAACATCAACGACAAATGGGCTTTTCCCTTTCAGAGCTCTGCGGGTGACTACAGTTACAGTACAGGGGTGTCCAGACTTAACGAATCGCGGTTTAAGGATTTTGCATCTCATACCAGTCAGATCACATTCAAGGACACATTTATAAAAAAACAGTTTAAACGTTTAACCATTTTCCAACATTGTTCTTCAACAAAAAGCAACCTGATATAGCGCACCAATATCATGATGTGGAAAGTATTGCCTTTGGTTTCCTCTTTCTACCACTAGATGGGAGTGTTGACTCTTCAAGTGTCTTCATCTGTTATATCTGAGTATTGTTTATAATTATGATCCCTTCTTACCTGTGCCCACATGCTTCATCATTGAGTCAATGGTTTAACAGTTAAGTTAAAATAACAATGTGGGAACAATGTGGTCGCCTTTGGTTCTCGACCAGCAGTTTGGACACCCCTGTTATGGGTCTGTTATTACTGACAGAAAAAAGATGATGAAACAAGACTTGGATACATTTGTATATAAACTGTACATAAATCTTTGTGCTGCTAAAGCAACAAGTGACACTAAGTCAATTATTGGCCTAATAAGGCTGAGTCTTAGTCTGAAATGACAGATTCAGACCACAGCGCGTGTCTCGTGCTTCAGTTCTTCTAAAACAACAACACGGTAAAAAGCTCTCTCATGTCAACGTTCACTCTGATCGCTTGGGGTCACTCGTGGTCACTCGTACTTGTGGTCCGAGTAGTACACGTTGACCAGGTGGCGGTTGAGGTGGCGCTGGTAGTCGCTCTTCAAGGCGAAGGCGCGGTCGCAGAAGATGCACAGATGCGCCTTCAGCTCCTTGGACACCATGGAGATGGGCGTGGGCACTTCGTCCGTGGGGGAAAGCATCTTGAGGCCCGAGTCGTCGCTGCACTCAGACGCACTGTCCGACACGTCGCTGGCGCCTTCGTGGATGCCCTCGTCCTCCTCGCAGTCGCCGGGCCGGGCCGTGGACGAGGTCTGGCGCTGGAGGAACAGAGGCGGCCGACCCGAAGGCTTCACAAACACGTCGGCAGGAGGGGCAGGGCTCTCTTTTGTCGGACTGCTCTCACACGGTTTGCCGTCTGCTCGGTTTGCCTTTTCGGAGTTGGCCACAGCTCGATTGTGGTTCACTGAATGTTCAATCGTTTCAATGTTTGCTGAGTTAGTTTTATCGCCATTGGATACAGTTTTGGCCAGGCAAGCGTCGTCTTCATTAGGGAGCATTATTTCCTGGCTTGTCTTACTGCTTACTGGCGATATTTTTGCGACGTTAGCTTTATCCGCATTAGCCACCATTTCAGTCTTGTTTTGGGAGTCCCCTTTGGGTATAATTTCAGAGGCAATAGCTTCATCATCAAATGGCCCAATATTGGCATGGTTACCTTCACATGTCACTGTTTTAGAGTGAATACCAAGTTCACTTTTGGCCACACTTTTAGCTTTGTTAGCTTTGTCAGTTTTTGCCAACTTTTTAGACTTTTTCGTTTTATCAGGTTTGGCAACCTTTTTAGCCTTTTTAGCCTTTTTAGCTTCAACAGTTTTGGCCAACTTTTTAGCCTTTTTAGCTTCCTCAGTTTTGGCCAACTTTTTAGCGTTTTTAGCTTCATCAGTTTTGGCCAACTTTTTATCCTTTTTAGCTTCATCAGTTTTGGCCACCTTTTTGGCAGCGTGTTTACCATCTCCTGCCACCTCTGCCTGTATTTTGGCCAGACAATCTTTTTTGATTTTAGAAGGCGTTTTAGCCTTAGCCGCCACCATTGAAACTTGGCTCGGTTTATCAACTTCAGTGCCATTATATTTACATACGTTGGGCATGACTTTTACCTTACTAGCTTCATCATCATTAGGTAGCATTTCAGCATTGTTAGCTGTGTCTCCATGGGGAAACACTTTAGCTAGGATAGCGCTATCGTTGTCTAGCGTCTTTTCAGACTTCTTACTTCGCGCCAGTTTGTTAGCTACCTTCTCCACCAAAATACCTTTCCTTTTAAGAGATTTCTTAGGACTTTTCTCCAATTTACTTGCAGATTTTGTTACAATTTCTTTCTTCTCTGGTTTTTCTTTCTCAGGTGAACTCTGGTGCGCAATTTTGGACTGTTCAGATTGTTTTGTGACCTTCCCCTCAACAATGGACAAAGGTACTTCTGACAAGTCTTCGGGCCCAACCTTTGGGTTATTGGTGTCCACCTCTGGAACCTTTTCTTGCTCACCTTCATGGTTCTCTGCATCTTTTCCATTGATTGTTGTAGCTTCTCCGACTTCATTCTGGACCTCCTGACTAGGCTCTCTATTCCAAATATTTGGCAAACTTTTCTCTTTTAGATTTAGTTTCCCCTTCTTCTTTCTGATCTTTTCATCAGTCTCCTTCACCTTTCTCATCTTCACTGGACGTTCCTCTTTGAGAGACAAGTCCAGTACTTCTGTAACCTTCCGTTTGGATGACTTGGCTTTCTTGGCTTCTTTACTGGGCACCCCTTTGTCTACCTTCCCCACGCCTTTACCAATATCCGTTTTAGCTCTGGCCTCCTCTTTCGCTTCATATTTTTCATGTACCTTTTCTGTCTTTTTGCAGCGTTTTTTGGGCGTCATCCTCTCCACTGCCTTGACAAAATCCTCAATTTTCTTCTGCTTAAGCTTCTTGACGGTGTCTTTCCCATTAACAACCAATTTCTTTGCTTCATCTTGTGACTTTTTATTTTTAATAGATAGATTAATGGGGCTCCCAGGCTCCTTGTCTTCAAAATCCTCGTCCAGATCTTCCTCCAGATCCTCAAGGGACTCTTCGTCCGGGCTTCCGTCATCTTTGTCCTCATGGTCGGGCTTCTTCGCTCGCAGTTTCACTTTAGAGACGTCCAACTCCACATTACAGCCAGCGTGCCTGGATTTGAGGTGGTATTGGAGGTTGCACTTCTTGGAGGCGGCGTATTTGCAGAGAGGGCAGTTAAACTGTCGTGGGTTCAGGTGGAGCTCCACATGCTTTTTGAAGTTGCTGCGGTCTGCCGTCTTGTACTCGCAGTAGGGACAGGCCAGCGGCTTGGGCCCGTTATGCACCTGGCGGGTGTGGCGCGTCACCTCGTGCTGGTTGGCTGCCAGGTAGTTGCAGCTCTCACACTTGAACGGACGCTCGCCTGAAACAGAAACGCAGGAGGTTAAGAAGATGAAAAGTATGTGGTCAAATAAAATATGGCTAGGCAGTGCTAAAAAGACAAAATAAAACAATTGATTGAAGAGGCAGATCCAAGTAAGATCTCTTTTCATCATGAGAGGCAAATAGATGCATTCTGATTGGTCAAAGGGCCACATGCAGCGTGTGAACTTAAGGTTTGCAAATCCTGATATACGTTTCTATAGTTTCTGAAACATGAAATGGCAAGTAAATATTTTTCAGATCATGCAATCATCATTAAATGATCAGAGGACACACTCGGACATATGTAGAAGTCATGAGCTCACCAGCTCAGCCTCCAGAGGCAGCATCAAGAAAACAGCACAAATAAATGAGACAGAGACAGAGATGTGATGATTAGGTCATGCATTTTCTGGTGTACTGAGGCAAACTCCACATGGTCATGCATGGTCCACTGAACTAAGGCCTATTCTACTCTTGATTCAGGTTTAATCCGGCTTAGCTAGATATAGATAGCTATAAAAATCGAATTAATATTATCAACAGTGATATAGATATATCGTTTGGATTGAATGGTTTTGACACTTGACTAAATTGATGAATATTTTATATGATGGAACATGTCTGATGCTTAGTGTGTCATTCTTGCCAATGCAGGAGGTCAGTGGTGATGATCCAGGACACTCGACATTCAACAACATTCATGGACCATTGGCTCTCTATGCGTTTTATATCATTGTATTTCCTATGTTTGATTCGTTTGATTCTCTGATCTGTGTTGGATTAGGTTGTATTCAACAGGTGGAGGGTGTGTTCCAGTTCGTGGGGCTGAGGGCCTCTCACCTGAGTGCGTCCTCATGTGGCGGGTAAGGTGGGTCTTCTGTGAGCTGGAGTAGTCGCAGTACGGGCACTGGAAGGGCCTCACTCCTGCACATGAACAAGTACATCTGTCAAAGTGTGTGGGCCAAGACACGAGATCAGGCTCTGTGTTTTTTAATCATTGCATTTCTTGTGTTTGAACTGTTTGATTCTCTGATTTGTGTTGGCAAATTCAACGGTTTTGTTAAGTCCCCAAGATAAAGACTGTTGTGATTTAGGGCTAAACGAGAACACATTGAATTGAATTGAATCCATTTGTTCAAAGACTGTTACGTGGCTGAATATAGCACTCACGCATAACAGTAACAATAGGGGTGGGACTCTTGGGGCACCTCACCATTTTATTACGGTTATGATTCAGAGGCTGCGATTCGATTATGATTATTGATGCATTTTTAGTACAGTGCCTTGCGAAAGTATTCGGCCCCCTTGAACCTTTCAACATTTCGCCACATTTCAGGCTTCAAACATAAAGATATAAAAAAATATTTTTTTTGTCAAGAATCAACAACAAGTGGGACACAATCGTGAAGTGGAAAGAAATGTATTGGATAATTTAAACTTTTTTAACAAATAAAAAACTGAAAAGTGGGGCGTGCAAATTCGGCCCCCTTGCGCTAATACTTTGTAGCGCCACCTTTTGCTGCAATTACAGCTGCAAGTCGCTTGGAGTATGTCTCTATCAGTTTTGCACATCGAGAGACTGGAATTCTTGCCCATTCTTCCTTGCAAAACTGCTCGAGCTCAGTGAGGTTGGATGGAGAGCGTCTTCAGCTCTTTCCACAGATTCTCGATTGGATTCAGGTCTGGACTTTGACTTGGCCATTCTAACACCTGGATACGTCTATTTGTGAACCATTCCATTGTAGATTTGGCTTTATGTTTTGGATCATTGTCCTGTTGGAAGATAAATCTCCGTCCCAGTCTCAGGTCTTTTGCAGACTCCAACAGGTTTTCTTCCAGAATGGTCCTGTATTTGGCTCCATCCATCTTCCCATCAATTTTAGCCTTCTTCCCTGTCCCTGCTGAAGAAAAGCAGGCCCAAACCATGATGCTGCCACCACCATGTTTGACAGTGGGGATGGTGTGTTCAGGGTGATGAGCTGTGTTGCTTTTACGCCAAACATATCGTTTTGCATTGTGGGCAAAAAGTTCGATTTTGGTTTCATCTGACCAGAGCACCTTCTTCCACATGTTTGGTGTGTCTCCCAGGTGGCTTTTGGCAAACTTTAAACGAGACTTTTTATGGATATCTTTGAGAAATGGCATTCTTCTAGCCACTCAGATTTGTGCAGTGCACGACTGATTGTTGTCCTATGGACAGACTCTCCCACCTCAGCTGTAGTTATCTGCAGTTCATCCAGAGTGATCATGGGCCTCTTGTCTGCATCTCTGATAAGTCTTCTCCTTGTTTGAGATGAAAGTTTGGAGGGACGGCCAGGTCTTGGTAGATTTGCAGTGGTCTGATGCTACTTCCATTTCAATATAATTGCTTGCACAGTGCTCCTCGAGATATTTAAAGCTTGGGAAATCTTTTTGTATCCAAATCCGGCTTTAAACTTCTCCACAACAGTATCTCAGACCTGCCTGGTGTGTTCCTTTGTCTTCATGGTTCTCTCTGCGCTTTAAACAGAACCCTGAGACTATCAAAGAGCAGGTGCATTTATACGGAGACTTGATTACACACAGGTGCATTCTATTTATCATCATCAGTCATTTAGGACAACATTGGATCATTCAAAGATCCTCACTGAACTTCTGGAGTGAGTTTGCTGCACTGAAAGTAAAGGGGCCGAATAATATTGCACGCCCCACTTTTCAGTTTTTTATTTGTTAAAAAAGTTTAAATTATCCAATACATTTCGTTCCACTTCACGATTGTGTCCCACTTGTTGTTAATTCATGACAAAAAATTGAAATTTTATATCTTTATGTTTGAAGACTGAAATGGGGCAAAATGTTGAAAGGTTCAAGGGGGCCGAATAATTTTGCAAGGCACTGTATAAGTCTAGGGTTAAATTCATTGCCATTATATTTTATTACCTCGGAAATTCCCCCCCACCTCTAAGTAACAAGGTCGTGGGTTTGCGTGATATTTCTTGGCTAGCTGGTGTGTGTATGCACTGGATGTAGTTGCTCTTGAGGTCACTGAAGTAGGAGCACTGGCTGTGTGTGTGTGTAAGTAAGTAAGTAAGTAATTTGTATAGCGCATTTCACAGACCAAGGTCACCCAAAGCGCTTTACACTGTTCAGAGTTCAGATATTGTTCCAATCATTCCACACACGGTGATGACAGAAGCGAGTCGCCGAACACACTGGACCATCAGCCCCCAATCAACACCATCCATTCACTCTCTCAATTACATTCATACCAATTGTACATGTTTTTAGAGGTAGGGGAAACCGGAGCACCCGGAGGAAACCGGAGCAGACACAGGGAGAACATGCAAACTCCACTCAGAAAGGCCCTGTTCCGACCAGGATTCGAACCCAGGACCTTCTTGCTGAGAAGCGAGAGTGCTATCCACTCAGCCACTGTGTGGTGTGTTTGTGTGTGTGTGTGTGTGTGTGTGTGTGTGTGTGTGTGTGTGTGTGTGTGTGTGTGTGTGTGTGTGTGTGTGTGTGTGTGTGTGTGTGTGTGTGTGTGTGTGTGTGTGTGTGTGTGTGTGTGTGAGTGTGTGTGTGTGTGTGTGTGTGTGTGTGTGTGTGTGTGTGTGTGTGTGTGTGTGTGTGTGTGTGTGTGTGTGTGTGTGTGTGTGTGTGTGTGTGTGTGTGTGTGTGTGTGTGTGTGTGTGTGTGTGTGTGTGTGTGTGTGTGTGTGTGTGTGTGTGTGTGTGTGTTTACCTGAGTGTGTGCGGATGTGCTGGATGTAGTTGCTCTTGCGGTCGCTGAAGTAAGAGCACTGGCTGCATGTGTGCAGTTTGCTGGGGAAGTGGTTCCTTAGATGTTTCCTCCAGTGGTACTGACTCACTGTGGTGTAGGGGCACAGCGTGCACTTGAACACTCTAGAACACAGGGCGCACACACATATAAGGGTGCATTCACACTGGAAAAGCCCAAAAGTCTATTATAAAGAGGAGAATAATCTATATTCGGGAAATTTCACCTTTAAAATGACAAGACAAGGCACTGTTGCTCAGAGAAGCTAGGACCACCTCGTTCCAAAACTAGCACCTCCCTGTTGTGTTTATGTCTCTTTCATAAGGGCATAAAGGATTTGCTGGAGTACGAACGCGGGAGGTTGAGTGCGGTTTTCTGATGTATTTTTACAAACGTGAATTGTGCGTATGAACAGGCTCACCTGTGGTCCTGGTCCTTGCTGTGGTGCTTCAGATGGCTGATGTAGTGGTCGTAGCGGTTGGTGTTGTATCCACACCTCTCACAGCGAATCAACCCCTTGATCTCGCCGCCTTCCGCATTCTGATTGGCGTCCCCTGCTTCCTTGCGCACTGGCTCCGCCTCCTTGCCACGGTGACTCCGCCCCTCCACTTTGTTGACCAGGATCATCTTGCTGACGGCGTGAGTCTGCAGGTGCTCGACAAACTGCGACTCAGTCTTTGCCTTTAGGAAAAACAGCAGCAGAGGTTTTAACAGGCTACAACTGTGTCTTCACTTCTCTTTAAAAACGTCATTACTTATGATTTAAGTTTGTATTGTTTGAATCATCTTGTCAATCATCAATGTTTTTTCTTTCCTTTTTGAAGAACACTTGGTTATCTGTTTGTACAAGAAGGAGATTTACTGTTTCTCTTGAGTTTCTTCCATCAACTGGAGATATATGTTTTTACTTTGGCATCTATTCAACGTTCTTATCTAAGACGAACAAGGTGGGCAGGGCTAAACATAACAGCCTTCTCTGTGAGAGGAGAAAATAGTGGCGCAGTACAAGCGCTGGGATAAGCACTGATACAACTTTATTTGTTTTTCATTTTATAAAAGTGGAAATTGGTTGAATGACGTGGAGTGGCACAACAGACAACTATTGAAAATACCTTCAACGTTGGCTGAAATACAGTATCAGGGAAAAATTTCAGCATAAGAAAATTAGAAGTGTTGGTGAGCCCTGTAACTGCACATTGTCCATAAATAAACAATCTCAAACTTCAACTTAAGCTCTGTGTGTGTGTCTGTATAAAAGTTTGATATATTGAACTTCTGTTTGGTTACAATGACCTGTATATGATCACATCTACATCTACATTTTTAGGTGGAGAAGGAGGGTATGGGGGGGTGAGTGTGTAGCTGGGTTGTTTGGCGTGTACCCTGGATTCAACACAGAGCGTTCTGTGAGGTGAGGCTGTTTTTGATGATGGAATGACCCCAAAGGCTTCTGGAAGTTACCTGGAAGTTGCAGGGTTTACAGTGGAAAGGCTTCTTCTTGGCCTTCTTCTCAGGGCTCTGAGGAGACTCTGGGGTGGTGGGCGGGGTCAGCTTATGAGTGGGTGGGGCCACCTTCAGCGTGTCCGTATCCTCCTCCTCCTCCTCTTCTACAGTGGTGAGGGTGAAGCCCGGGGATTCTGGGTACTCTACGATACACACCTCCCGCTGGCTCTGGTCGTCGTAACTATATCTGCAACATGTTTCAATCATTTAATACTTTTTGGAGTAAATAGCAAGGAAATACATAGATGGCATATGTGATAACATAAGATATAAGATCTTGCTATTTACAACACAGCAATTGCCCTATTGTCAAATAGTATTTCATTGAATTGTCCTATTTTGGTTGGTCTTACGTAGAAATCTGTATGATTAAACTCCTGCAAGACCCAAAATGAACACAATTGCAGAAATATAGCCAATAACAAATTTTTAGAGCATCAATTTGACGTTGAAGTGAAAATATTTAGGGGCCTTAATTATTTGTTATTTTGATAATAAATTTGCCTATTAATTATTGGGTCGATTAAATTATATTATGAATGACTATAATATATATATACACACACCGTACACCTGTTGATGATTTTGTTTTGTGTTTTTGTGAAATAAATAGAACGGGTGTAACTTGTTCTGTTATGGTTTTGTGCACAACTGCACAAACAACATTTATTTCAATATAGGACATAGGTTTTGGAATTTGTGATTTAGGATATCTTTGTCATAACTTTTTGCCTTCAATTATGATTAGAAAACATTGGATTTTTAAAAACGTAATCTCACCTGATGATATTGTCGTCTTCGTCATCAGAGAAGTCCCCTCCCACTGTCTTCAGCTCCATCATCTCTTTATCCCCGCCTCCTTCGGAGCAGACTCCACCTCCCTCGGGCAGTATGACGCAGCCTGAGGCCCCGCCCACCTCCGCTGTCACCGCAGCAACGTTGGCGAGCATCACCAGCTGAGGCGCCGGAGACGAGAACAGCCCCAGAGACATGCTCCAGCTGCGACACAGCCAATATTATAAATTTTCACGTTTAAACATCCACATAGCCAAAGCATAACACATTCTCGATCCCAATCCAGTACAACATTTGTGGGCAGAGCTCAAGAGGTGCTACTTTGAGGTGCCCTACAAACAGAACAAACTATTTTTGTCAGAACGAAAGGCCAGAATTCCAACCAACTGCAGCGAGAACATTTGACCCAAGTCAAAGAATTTTTAATTGAGATATATTTAACCAGAAAAATTTGAAAAAATTAAAAGGTGTCTCCAGTGCAAATGATGCTAAACCTGCCAAACTACACTCCCGCCTGATACACACCTAAAGAAAACTAAACTTCTAAGAATTGTTGGCTTCCATGAAGCTGGAAAGTGTTACAAAGTCATCCGCAAATGGCCCCTTTAGAGGTTGCACCCTTGTGAGATTTCATAACACTTTTAAGCAACTTTTGTTAAAGTTAAACTCATCATTCTATCAATGTGCAGAAGCCTGTACTTTTCCCTTGTTTTGTCTATCTGAAGGCCAAGCTACATGGCACCGTGGAAGCTGCTGATTGGAGGTCTCCATGCCTCCGCTCTGTATAATAGACTTGCATTCTGTTGTATCTGTTGTTCGTGCTGTCTCTACCATTGACAATAAAACATGTCTTCTGTCTGAATTAAAGACGCGATCCCAGACTATGTCATCTTCTTCACCCTTTTGGCTTGGTTCTACGAGACTTGGTCCTAGTTCAAATCAATTCAATGTTTTCTTGTAAAGCCCTAAATCACAACAGCAGTCATCTCAGAGGACTTCACAGAACCATTGAAACCGCCAACAAAGATCAGAGAATCGACAGGTAAGACACAATAATATAGAACACATGGTATTGGTCCATAGCGAGAGACCAAAGTCCATGAATGTTGATAAATGTCCATACATGTTGAAGAACGTGAGAGTGTCCTGGATCATCACAACAGACCCTTCTGCATCAGCAAGGAAAAACTAAAACCAAGTGGGAGAAAAGTTTAGAGAACTAGTTCCTGGGTATTCACCTGAACCACAAACTGGACACATAATACAGACACTCTCACCAACAAGTTGAGAGTTCTCCAATTGTAATGTATTGCTTTAAGTGTTGCATAGTGTATTACCAGAGTACCCAAACGTGCCCAAATGTGCAAACTCATCCAAAACATAAATACATATAAAATACAAATTGATTAGATGTCAAAAAAAAGTTTGAGAAAGACTGTTGGAAGAATAATACGTTGAAATGAAATCTTCCCGTTTCTTGTGAACATAACGTGAAATTAGGCCAATAACAGATCGTTCCACTTGTTGCTGTGCATTGTCTTGTGTGGGAGAATGTACAGGAGGAACTCACTGCTTGTGCATCACGAGGCTGGGCATTTTGTTGTCGGCCATTTTAAAACAGCACCACACCTCAGAGACAGCGCCAGCTCGGCCCTTTACAGAACTATAACTAGACAACTATTATTTCGTACTACAGACAGCTGGGATACAACTCGCATTAAAGCCAAAGGATGAATCTGTGTAAATAGTCCTTGTTAAGCATTCGGCTTGAATAAAAGTAAGTTTAAAGTCACCGTTTAAGTTTTAGGTCTGTAGAGAGACTAGTGAAGTGATTGACTGCAATGACGACTACGTGTCAAAAAACATACACGTTTACAATAGAGATCCGTTTTACAGACAGAAAAGTTTTTAAGTTTAGTTCCTTGAATCTATTTACAACTTTGTCATTACGAGATACAATATCAGCGTAACATTTATCTTTGGTTAGTTTGCGATTACTTTATTTAAGCTTGATTAAGTCATTTTAGCCCGAGAAAAGTTTGCTTACGGAAGTAGACAATAGCTGCAACATTCACGTAAACAAAGTTGTGGAACTTGTTTAAACATAGTTAAGTTGTTGTTACTGCACAGTGCGCGTTAGCTAGTGTTTTTTAGGAGTAAGGGAAAGTGCTCCGAGAGTTAGCCGTGGTCCTGATCAGCCCCAGGACAGCGCCTCCATTTTGCACTGTACCAAATCTGTCCACCGCTGTTTTCTACGAGGCTAAACACGGTCCAAAGTGGTCCAAACCGCGCCCTGTCTCTAGGCATGGCTCGGCACGCTTACCTGATGGAGTTGGCGCGTCTTCGCAAGAGTTTAGTCCCCGATTGAGGGAGTTTGTTCGGTCAGAAACAGCAGCTCAGACTGGGCAAAAGTTTCAGCGCATTCCTCCACAGCTTTCACTGTCTGACGCACAGTGGTGACGTCAGCACGCACACACACACAGCTGGACGAGGGCTTATTTGTTCTATACAGATTTGTAAAGTTCAGTAAGGTTTTTTCAAAAGTTATGTATAGTTTTGTAAAGTCCCGAGGCGTCATTTTAAGTTATGTTAAGTTGTGTTGCGTCATGTAAAACACTGTAAACTTCTACTTTCTAATGTTACCTTTGAGTGAGTTTCAAGTAACATATCCAGTCCATTACTCCTTTTATTCAGTATTCCATGTGCAACGTCTACGTTGATTTCAACACATTATCATTCCCTTTTGACAATTGTACCTTTTACTTTTTTAAGCAATGACATGAGTAGTGTTCCCCATTTACTTCTTACATGGGGTCATTAAGCCTTATATGAATATTTAACAGACCTTTAGGCCTACACAGTGAAACCAGACTAGAGACTGTCCGAGAGCTGGGAGCTCAAAATACATTAACCATGATAGATAAATAGATATTTTAGCTTGTTTCAAAAAAGTCAGAATATTGATCTTCATTCAAGTTATTTATGTTTTTGACGCATTAGAAAAGTATGGTCCAAACTGTATTGGCCAACTTTTTCTGTCAATCAGAATCAGAATTTTTTGTATTGCCTATGCAAGTAACAGGAAGTCTCAAAGTTATTTTATTTTATTTTGTGGCATATGCATATATTTGTTGTTTAATTATTGTATTAAACAATTTAGATGTGAGATTATTAGATTAAGATAATAAGTCATTTTTTTGTGCTCAGGGGGCTCTGAGATATTTTTGGGAAATCTTTTTTTCTCTTTCCTTAATCCAACTCTTTAGCAGGAGGTATTTATACAAGACAATATTGTTGCCTAAGACCACTACATTCTTTGAACAAACCATCCTTAAAAAGGTCTCCTATGTACACCAATCTGTTTCCAATTTTTGTGATGCATCTGAGAAGCTGTGGGGATAAAGGCCCTGCAGTAGCGCTCCTTCTTGCACTGAGGGTGCCCCAGTCTTCCACTGAAGGAGCTCCTCAGCTCCTCTACAGTCCTGTGCTGTGGGAGGTGTGACTAGCACCCTCCTGTCCCTCACCTCCTACACAGAGTCCAGGGGGAAGTCTAGAGTGGAGATGGCCCTCCTGTCCCGCTCTGTGCTGCACACGCGTAGTGTATGGCAGAGGCTACCACATAGTCATAAAAAGTCCTGACCAGAGGCTCACTCTGAAGGACCTCAGCCTCCTCAGAAGGAAGAGGCAACTTTGGCCCTTCTTGTACAGGGCGTTGGTGTTGTGGGACCAGTCCAGTTTATTGTTAATGTGAACACCCAGGTACAGTACTTGAAGCTGTCCACCAGCTCAATGTCCTCCCCCTGGATGTTCAGCAGTGTGTGGGAAAATGGTTTTCTCCTGTATTTGATTACCATCTCCTAGGTCTTACTGGTGTTCAAGCACAAGTGGTTGCGCTCACACCAGTCGACAAAGTCTGAGATAACCAACCGGTCTCCAGTTCATTCCCCTCAGACACACAGCCCACGATGGCGGAGTCGTCAGAGAACTTCGGCAGGTGGCAGCTGTGTGTCGTTTGTGAAGTCTGAAGTGTAGATGGTGAAAAGAAACGGTGAGAGGACAGTGCCCTGAGGGGCCCCAGTGCTGCAGACTACCACCTCAGACTCACAGCTGCGCAGCTGCACTTTCTGTGGTCAGTCCGAGAGGTAGTCGATGGTCCATGTAGTGAGGTTACTGTCCAGTCCCGCGTCCTCCATCTTCCCCTGCAGCAGTGCCGGTCTGATGGTGTTGAAAGCGCTGGAGAAGTCAAAAAACATGACTCTCACAGCGCTCCGGCGGGCTCCAGGTGGGAGAGCGTCCGCTGCAGTAAGTAGATGATGGCGTCCTCCACTCCAATGTTGGGCCTGTAGGCGAACTGCAGCGGGTCCAGGTCGGGGCTGAACACAGATTGGAGATGGGTGAGGATGAGCCGCTCCATGGTCTTCATCAGATGGGAGGTCAGTGCACCTGGTCTGTAGTGAGCCGGTTCCTTGGCGTGCGCTGTTTTGGGAACCGGGATCACACAGGATGACTTCCACAGGACAGGGACCTTCTCCAGGGCGGAGGCTCAGGTTGTAGATGTGGCTGAGGATCTCAGAAAGCTGGTCTGCACAGGTCCTCAACCGCCTGGGACTGCTCAGGACCTGTGCCAAAGTATCACTGGATTTTTTTTATTTCTCCTATAGGTCTTCCATACTTTCAAAATACTTTATATCTTTGAGCGGGAGTAATTTACAATGGTTTTGTTCAATATTAATCCAAAAGGGAGAGTATTTATTACAATGAGACCACATCCATACCTTGTGAATGTGTGCTGTATTATAATAATATTATATAGCATTATAATTGTATGCCTTTAATTTAGATGTCACATATGGAAGCCCGTTTCCGCCATGTAAAAAAAAATAAAAAGCAAACAGAAAGTCAAAATTTTGAGTTTAAAACTCAAAATTGCGACTTTTAAAAGTCAAAATTTCGACTTTAAAAGTCAAAATTTCGACTTTAAAAGTCAAAATTTCGACTTTAAAAGTCAAAATTTCGACTTTAAAAGTCAAAATTACGACTTTAAAAGTCAAAATTGTGTTGTTGTCTGGAACGGTCTCTGGACGTCCTTCACCTGCAGATTATGTGAAGATATTGCCTACAGTGACCACTGCATCCTTGAAGTAGCCAGAAATAATGTTGTTTGATTGATTCTGTAAAACTTTCCTGTTTAAGCCCCAGACCGCGGTCGTAGGACGCAGGGAGGAGCTGTCTTTTTATTTATTTATGTTAAATTCAATTTACATATATACAACATTTAAATCAAACGACTTCTTATTTCGACATAGTAACAAATAATGTGAGCAATACGTTTTTATAATTGAAGAAGATGACAAAGTCTGGGATCGCGTCTTTAATTCAGACAGAAGACATGTTTTATTGTCGATGGTAGAGACAGCACGAACAAAGCACACGATCACAGATACAAGAGAATGCAAGTGTATTATACAGAGCGGAGGCATGGAGACCTCCAATCAGCAGCTGCCACGGTGTGCTTGTAGCTTGGCCTTCAGATAGACAAAACAAGGGAAAAGTACAGGCTTCTGCACATTGATAGAATGATGAGTTTAACTTTAACAAAAGTTGCTTCAAAGTGTTATGAAATCTCACATTCCCCCCTCTGGTCATACATTCACGTGTGACCATCAGGATTGATAAACAGCAACATAACATCATAACTCAATACTTCAAAAACTCATAAACTCGGTACCTCAAAAAACTCAGAACTCGGAATACTTCAAAAACTCATAAAACATGTTCAGATCTTTCATAAAACTTGTCAACAATCTTCAGTAAAATACCAAACTTCATCAGTCGATGGTGGTTCCAGATATTGCTTTGAAAACAGTCTCTCCCACTTCTCCTGTTGGTTTCTTCAGGCTGCATTTGTGTCGAGCCATGAATTCTTCTGTGACGTGTCTTTCAATCACACGTTTCAGCTTCAGTGTCCAAATTCAGCAATCCAATTCAGTCCAAATGATGTCCAAATTCAGAAATCCAATTGTTCCAAATTATGTCCATGCAAAAGAGGACGCTGGTATTGTCCATGTCTCAGCAGCTCACAGTCTGACTGGAATCAGGGGCTGTGCAGATTGTCCAAGTGCTGATCCAGATGCATGGTTTCTCTTGAGGTTTTTCAGTTTTGGCTTGAAAAAAAAAAACACTTTTTGTGTAAAAAAAAAGTAGTCTTCTGTTCTGTAGATTGTTAGGATTTAGGCAGACAGAGACAGATTGTGGTGTGCCAAACTCTGGAAGTTTATTTAAGTTTCTCTCAAGTTCCACTGGTTTACTCTGTTTCTTTCTCTCAGACAGAATAAAGGCAGTACACAGTTTATATAGTCATTGTCACGTCACACATCGAAAGACATACGTGTCACAAAGAGACAGTCACATCATAGTCATAACATGGAGTCCTTGTACAGTACTTGTACAGTCCTGCACGTAGGCCATATTGCTATCTAATACTAACACCCTCCCCTTTGATCACATAATCACATGTGATCACTCAATTTGATCAATCAATAAAGTGTAAAAAGAAAAAAAAAAAATCTAAAAAAAAACTTTTAAAAATTATTAAAAACAAAGAAAATGTATGCATTAAACTCATAATCATCAAATCAATATCAGTGGATTTTATCCTCTATCCTGGGAAAAAATAAAAAAAATAAACAAACAAATCAAAAATAAAGTAAATAAATAAACGAAAAACAACAAAAACAAATCAAAAATAAAAACAAACAAACACTATTGGACACAGTAGAACTCAGCAGATTCAGTCAAAACACAGACAAAAACGAGCTGAGTCTCAAATTTGAAGCTAATTTCACTTTTCTTACTTTATACTTTTATTCTAATGATAATTGTTCTTCACTTCACTGTATTTTCAGTGATTAGATTGTGTACTTTACTTTCACTATTCACTATAGTTTAAAACTATTCTAATCTATTCACAAATATGTTTGCATATTTGCTTCTATTGAGCCATATTCTTAAACATACATTTTAATCTAACAAATCTCTCTGTGGTTTACTTTCATTATCAGTGGCATATTATTAGTGGGATTTTGTTCCATGTCTATTCTCATTCTCAGGAATAAAACTGAACACAGTAAGGCAAATGGTCAACATTTACACTTCTATAGTGGTCAGTGATTTATTACTTTTTATTATCTCAAGATATTATTGTCAGGCAGTTTGGGATGAATGAACATCATTAATCAAATTAGTATTATCCTTACAAGAGCTAATCTATTTTAGCAGGTTTGGGGTTGGGGTCAGTTATTCTACAATGCTGTTTGAATTCTGATTCTAATCTGTGCTGGCGAATCTACAGCTTTTTAAACTTCACAAAGATATCCAAATATCTAAATATCTACTATTGTGTTTTTGTGCTATACACAAATACATCAAAATGCTTTTAAATGCTTTTGAATCTTTGTTGGTTGTAATCTATCTCATTGATCTAGGCATTAATCTAGACTACACTCATATGGACTTTTGCATTGTCAACATTCACTCATGTTTGAACACAAGTGAATTTGGAAGTATCTAATAAAACTGTACATAAAACTGTAAGTAACTTTATCTACTTCTGAAGTAAATGCTTGTGAAATGGTCCCTCTACCATTTGATATTAACACTGGCTACAAATATTCTCTATTTCTGAAAGCATCTATGGTTGATGCATTTATCTAATTCTATTTTTACACTATTGTGACTCCAAAGTTTGGCTGCAGTTTGAGCAAAGGCATATTCCTAATTTGTGACTTCTGTCACTTTTAATGGCTGTAACATAACTCTGATTCTAATATTATAGCTGATCTATCAAAAGGATAACATTGTAGGGTACTATTTTAACTCTTATGTGGAAATGTGTTTATGAAAAACAAAGGAAGTCAAATTCTACTTTTTTACTACTATTTAACATCTACTAAAACGCTACAATAATCATACTTTATCATTTTCAAAGTTTTTGTCTGTCAGATGTCTGAATACTTAACATGTATATTGCATTTGTCACAGTTTCTGGTTGTAGCAATAGCATCGGCAATAGACGTTTTTCATTGGCTGGTTCTTGTTCTGCAAATGTCTGTGTCCAATAGATCATCAGATGTCCAGAAGCTAGAGACAAACAAAAACAAAAGAAAGAATCATGAGTATCTCTCTCATTTAGCACTCATCAATGTATGATTTCAGAAATATAAACATCACTCCCCAGTTTTCTCTCTCTCAGGTCCTCAGGTCCTCAGGGTCCCCTGAGGGTGAGTCTCAGTCGTCATCAGGTCAGGTCATAGAGAGATGTCATCTTGGTCATCAGTAGGGTCCAAGCCATGGTTTTGGTCTCTCCAGTTGGACATCGGATATCCAGATACAGTCTTTTCACTCGAAGCACATCAGGTCACTTGGGATGCACTTCTGGTCAATGGTGCAGTGTCTCAGTTCCTGTACACAGCTTGTTATGCAGTAGTTACTCTCTATGGTTAAGTCACTTTGATTCTACTTTAAAGACAATTTCTATTCATGCTGTTGCTAATGTCCCTCAGACAAAAAGCAAGCGCAGTTTACTTCTCTAATTTGTGTTTTTATCAGATCTAATTCTAATCAATGTAATTACTTCACACAGTACAAAATCAACAAATCAAAAGTGTCAGGACAGAGGTCAATTAAGTCCATGACAATATAGAATTCAAATGAACATTTCTGGTCTCAAAAAATACTGATTCAACTAAAGATTCAAGTGATAGACAATTAAAAATATGTGTTTACATTGGAGTAAACTTTTAAAATGCTTTTTTCTCATGTTCTGCTTTTTCATGTATCTATATGTAAATGTGAATGTGTGAGTGTATGTGTGTGTATGTGTGTATGTGAATTTTGGGGTTGTTTCTCCAGACTCCTCAAACCACCTGTAGGTGTCAAAGGTCACACTGTGGTGATGCAAACCAACTGGACACACTTTCAACTCTCATTCAGGTCTTTCCCTGACGCTCCACCCATCACGTCTCCAGATACCTCCACTTTGTGGCCCCGGTCTCTCTCACACCCACTCAGTTCTGCAGTGGCGTGGGGAGGGGCAAGGAGGTGGCATTTCCCTTTGCTCTTAGCTCTGTGACCTGTGGCTGGGTGGGCTTTGCGCTGTCCAGTGTCCAGCAGTGACCTCTCCCACAGTGTGCCAGAGTCTGAAAAACAATCCTTGAGACGGCCAATTTAAAAAACAGATATCAGTATGCGAATGAGATTGTTTTTCTCTCTAAGTCTAAACAATTTTGGAGCGCTCTGGGCTTTTCCCAAGCGCTATGTAAATAAAAGATTACTTATTATCTTACTAATGATGACATTTTAAGACCAGAAACTCTCAATATAAAAAACAAGACTCAAATCTCTTAAACTTTTTAA